AAACCCATCCTTCACCCTCCATTCATCCATTGGACTTGGACCCGACCTGCTTCTGCAACTGTAGAACTTTTCTCCAACTTCTAGCAGAAACTCACTGTGGATTTCAACCACTTTTCCAACCAACAAGTAACAATCTTGGGATGAAACAACTTGGCAGTAAAAGCATGACCTCTGTCTATGATTCTGACCTCGCTTGAAATGAGACCAAAGTGATCATTTTGAACTTTAATAGCCACTCCAACACTTTCAATGAAGGTCGAATTCCACTCAATATGGTCAATAAACCTCCAAATCAATCCGAAAGGCCTTAAACATTCGACCATCCGAGACAATGAGAATGCTTATGAGGCACCTATTAACTCAAGTTCAGTCCATTCTACATTAACCTTTTCCCAACGACTTTTAACCAACTCCTGACAATAGGAGGACCGTTTAGGTTTAGTTAGATTAATTATATCTGACCTCTTATGAGTAAGAGTTTCTTCACCCACCTTCTTTTACCCCACCCCCTAACCCCCCAACATTCCAAGATAGCACTTTCATTGTGAAACTCCTGCAGCCTTAGCTTCTTAAGAAGCCTTCCTACAATCATAATTGATTGTGCACTTCAGATTGCTCAACACACTTACATGATTACTCCCCATACCCCTCTTCTTTCCAAGGCCAATTTGTTTTTTCTGACCAGCATTAGGGGTTTCATCACAAGACTTGACGAGCACATTTTGGAGGTCCACAGAAGAAAGAAAGCTCTTCGTGATTGTCAATTGTCCAGAGGGTAGCCATTCACAGGAATTTCTAAGAGATTAGGCAAAGGATATAGCAGCCCAACACAACCTCAAGGGCAAGCGGCTGAAAACCTTCCCCCCACAAACTCGACACCTTGGTAATCTCCACAATGGGAGTTATGCATTGAATTGATTGAAGGATCAGCTTAGAAGAAGAGGCCCAGACATCATTATACTCAATGGGAGCAGCTACCACTATCAAATGGAAAATGGAAATTTATATCAATATAGACATAAAAATCTAATAGCCATAGAGCTAAAGAAAATTGCAATCCATTTAACAAAACCTGCAACTGTTTCAAAGTATAAGAAAATAATCTTTCATAATATCTAATTTTTCATCCAATAAAGATAGTTCCACTACAGATTAACAATATGTGCAATTCAAATTAATCATGAGTGTGATGAGGTAGTAGATTAATAAGATCATCTAAACTGTCATTCTACAATATTAAAATCAAATCATGAGTATTCTCCAGAAGGAAAGTTTTAACAGGCAAGGAAATGTGAATACTACTGCAATCTTCTCCAGTACAGAAAAAAGAAAGAAAGTATGAGTTAAAGATTCATAATGAAAGCGTAAAGCAATTAAAAATTCTTATGCCATGAAAATTTCCTATATTTGTGAAAGAGTAATAATATTGAGACTGAGACTAGTCGTACAAGCAAAGAATGGGCATGAGAGCACAAATAACTGAGCAAATTCGTGAAACATATCGAGGTGGGGGTGTCATTCCTGCGGTGATCCCACGGCTTCTGACCAATTCAAAATACTCACGGGCACCAACAAAAATACATGCAGCAACAGCCACGGTGAATAGCCATCCTCCAGCCATTACTATAATACCTCCAGTTATTCCAATGCCAAGCCCAAAAACAATGCGTTTCTTCAATTGATTTTTTTTATGTTGCTGTTCTGAGATTGGATCCTCTTGAAATGATAACTGTTGACCTCCCTCAACCTCCTATACAATAGCCACTTCAGTAATTAATTTGATACAAGAAATGCTGACAACATTAACTTGGCTAGGTACAAAACCGTTGTTTGAGCCACAACGGCATCTATATGTATGCATTTAATACTCGAGCTCACAAAATGAACAAAATTCACAGACTAATATATTCCCCAAACGTAGTAATTTACTGCTTAGAAAGAAATCCAATTCCAACTTAGCTGCTACAGATAAATTATAAATAAACCTTGAATCTCTCCAAATTGAAAAATCATGCAACGATTTATCCCCAATTCTAACCACATATTTCAGAAATGACTAGCAGTTTCTAACTAGACCAATACTGGTCTCCAACATCCATCATGCATCAAACTCTACATTGAAACAAGCAAATTAATAAACCAATACCCCTACCCACCAAATATGCTTCTCCACACCGTGTAAGAGCTACCCTGTGCTATTCAATTTAGCACCAAAATCATCAACCTTTATCCGATAGAATCATCCACTTCCAACTCTTACACAAACGATAAACAAACAAACAAACAAATAAAACCCAAATTCGAACAGCAATTTACCAATCTTACAACGAATATCACAGAATCCAACGTACCTCTTCGGGCTCTTTCCCGTCAATCCGGTCGGGCTCGGCATGTGCCACAGCCACAATGTGGCGTCTCGCCAAACTGCTGCTCTTGCTAATTCTGAGCAGGCCCTTTTGGCCATGTAGGACAAAACGCAAGCGATTGAATTCCAATGAGGATCGAGGGCGAGGAAATGACTTACAGAACGAAGGACGGGAGGGGCAGGCGCAAGGCGAAGAAAACGACACCGGAGCAACCTTGTAACAATCGAAATCCGAAAATGATATGTTCGTAGTCATGAGATAATTCGTACAGCTGAAAATAGGTAGGATCAAATTCGAAATCAGATTTGAGAGGGAGAAGAAAAGGCATGCGATTTTGTTCACTGTGCTGATATTGTTCTGTCACAGAAGCCGTTATCTGTGGGGAAGAAGGAAGAAGATGAAGGTAAAGGACGTGAAAGCCTGAAATGAAGAATGGGAGAAAGAAAGCCTCTTGAAAATCAAAATTTTTTATCTTTTACAAAAACAAAAAACAAAACTCTCAAATTTATACCCAAAATGGGTCTGATTTGATCAATTTTCAGGGTGCACTTGTCCCGATGTAAAACAGAGTCTAAGTTTTTGGCGCAGCGTGCGGGGATGCGGTCGGGGGCATGTGCGGGGGGAGTGTCACGGTCTTGCTCGTTCAAGGCGTGTTGCTCATGGCCGTATGCCCATGACAAGCCCAACCCTTTATGTCTTTTTATATTCTAGTGTTTTACTTTTGTATTTCTAGGAAGTATGACGTTTAAGAAATTATCATGTCTAGACATGTCAGACATGAAATGCTTCAGGATGTACTACTATAGGGGATATGACTAGTTGTCAATTTCTCCCTACCCAAGGTTATATACTGTGAGCCGTTGTTATTTCTCTCTTGCTTGCTTATATAACGTCTCTTTCAAAAATCTCTCTTTCGAAAATCTCTCTCTGCCCTCGTTTTATAAAACCTTCTCTTAAAATCGAGGCCAGAGGCTCGAGCATACGTTGCTTGGCCGTAGGCGACGCTAGAACGAATTAGCTTAGCTCACTTGTCGTTGGAAAGTGAGTGTCGCACAATCGCAAGTCTGCTGTCATCAAAAGTGCGATTGTGACAAGTGGTATCAGAGTTTTGTAAGCTCCGTGAAATAGCAAAGACTAAAAACATGTTGACGACAAAGTCAACACCCAAATCACAAGCCGACCGGCTTGCTCTAATAGAGAAGGAAATGTTGTTCCTCAAAGAAATCCCTGACGCCATCCGCTTCCTAGAAGCATGGGTGACAGAATTGAATGGAAAAGTTGTAGAAATCGACGCAATGGGTAACCGTCTGGATGGGTTGCCAATCGCAGAACTGATGTTTCGAGTGACCTCACTCGAAAAAAAAGTTGCTCCGACGAGCAGCCCAAGACCGTCTGGTAGCCCCGATAGCTTTGTAGCGCACAATGAGGGGCGTGGGGAAGAGTTTGATGTGCTACAAAATACAATGATGAGTTTGTTCAATGGATTAGCTGATGAATTCAGAACAACGATCGATGACATCTAAGAAAAGATGTTCGTGATGAGCACCCGAATTGAGGTGACCATGAAAGCCGTGGAGAACATCTCGGCTGGGCAAACTAATACAGGATCCAACAAACTAAAGTTCCCAGATCCTAGACCTTTCAAAGGGAACCGGGATGCCAAAGAGTTGGAGAACTTCATCTTTTATGTCGAACAGTACTTCAAAGCCACATCGGCTTATACCGACGACATAAAGGTGACATTAGTCTCGATGTATGTCATAGACGACGCCAAACTTTGGTGAGTTTGGCGTCGTATGAAGGTGCAAGACGTCGAGAATGGATTGTGCATCATAGACTCGTGGGGAGACCTCAAGAGAGAGTTGAGGGACCAATTCCTCCCAAAAAACGTAGAGCATCTAGTAATGGAAAAACTAATAGCCCTAAAGCAAACTGGAAGCATAAGGGACTATGTCAGACAATTCTCAACACTAGTGCTAGATATCAGGGGCACATCAGAGAAGGACAAGGTGTTCTTCTTTATAAATGGGTTGCAACCGTGAGCCAAGACAAAAATACATGAGAAAAAGGTCCAAGACCTAGCTACCACAATTGCCAGCACTAAGAGACTCCTAGACTATGGGAACGAAGCGGGTTACCAAAGAAAAACAACACAGACCCCGAACACTAGGGGCAAAACATATAAGCCACCAAGTCATCGAAATGGAAGCCCCAATAGGCCAAACGAAAGTAACGACAGACCAAGCGGGTGGACAGATAGACCTTCTCAGAACAACCAAGCGGGGACATTTCGAGGACCTTACACTCAAAGGAACCACCCGACGACACCTTTACAATGCCTGTTGCGTAAAGGCCCCCACAAAGTGTCCTACTGTCCTCATTGGGCCTCTCTCAGTGCACTCCAAGTGTCCATTCAAGAGAGCAACGATACAAGAGTTGAGATTATGCTAGACAAGAAGGAAGATCAAGACAACTCCCGAATGGGCGCACTCAAATTCTTGTCAGTCCTCCAACGGAAGATCGATCCGAAGGAGATAATAGAGAAAGGGCTCATGTTTATGGATGCGACAATAAACTCTCGACCAAGCAAGAGCACCTTGATAGACTTCAGAGCGACCCACAACTTCATGTCGATCAAGAAGCACGGAGATTGGGACTCACCATAGAAAAGAACCCTGGAAAAATGAAAGTTTTCAACTCCGAAGCCTTGTCTATTGTGGGAGTTTCCAAAAGAGTCCCCTTCAAATTAGGGGCTTGGACAGGAGAGTTGGACCTTGTCGTGGTTCGCATGGACAACTTCAACGTGGTACTTGGGATGGAGTTCCTCTTAGAACACAAAGTTATCCCAATGCCACTGGCGAAATTCTTGGTGATCGCCGACCGCAACCCCACAGTAATACCTGCAAGCATCAAGCAACCAAGTAATCTTAGAATGATCTCGACCATACAATTGAAAAGAGGACTCGCACGTGGATCCCAGCTGACTGCACACGGCTTGTGCGTCAACCCAGCTTGGATCAAATGCCTCCGCGTTATCCAAATTCGAAAAGCTAAAGATAACTTCAACATCGGCCTGTATAAAACACAAGAAACAATCTATCAAATGACACCCAGTTTGTTCCCTTAATCTTAGAGGTGCTTTCACATCTTCTTAACCCGCTTCAAACCACTGTCGGGGATTTGGGTTAAGATCGGATTCGTTATAAATTAAACAACCTGAGCCGCAGTAATTCCTTTGATCTCAACATTTTGTCCCTTGACTAGCTTTTGATTTAGCATCATAACTATCTTCTGTCTCAGCCTATTGAGCTCCATAACTGGCCATTGTAAGAGCTGCTTTCCATTGGGATCCAACCACACCGTCCTAGGAATCGCCTAGGAAAAGGAGAAAGAAAAGGTCGACCCAAATACAAAATAGAGCAAATTCAATTAAAAATAGAACAAAACGGAGCACATTGCATCTAAAACAAACCTGAATTCCCGCCCATCCCTTGGAAACATCATCCTGGACACTATCAGATTCATTAGTCCAACCCCACAAAACCCTTCTCTTCTTCATCGGATCATAGAACGACTTGGAAGCATAGAAATTGTCATAGTCATACCTCAGCCCACTCCACCCATCCGTCGAGGTATTATCGGGAACATACTTGTCCGTCATCGGATAATACTTCCCCAGCGTATAATACTCATATCTAGTCATCTCCAAGCTCACCTTCAACACATGTTTAAACCAATTTCCCATCACTGACTTGTCCAAGCCAAATCTACCGAAGTGGGAAACTGGGTAGAAATCAGGGCACTCCCACATTCCTGTATTCGAAACCGAATGTAAAGGCTGTTCCACCTTAGTCCAATTCAAAAAATCCCTACTTCTATACAAATACGCCATTCCCGTCTGCTCGCTCCTGCTGCCAATGATGGTGTTCCAGTGACCGTTGAGGCTCAGCCACGCCGTCGACGGGTCTCGAAAGGCGCTACTACTATTGACCTCCGTACCCGGGTCAACAATCAGATTGTTATCCGGTTTGACCCACTCGGTTAGATGCGGATCAGAGAGGTTCGCTCGAATGGCGTAGTTTTGTACCTGTCGATTCTGGGAGTCGATTCCAGTGTATAAAATGACGGGCTTAAGGCTGGGGTGGATGGTGGCGGAGCCAGACCAACAAAAACGCTTATTTTGTTTAGCTTCCAACTAAGGCTCAGGGAGTTCTTTCCCCGGGATTGATTGAACGATCTCATAGCCCTCCACCTGTATCCCACAAAAGCGCTTATTTATATAAAATGTATAACAATCGGATTGTTATCCGGTTTAGCTTCCAACTAATAACCGATTTGCTCTTAGATTGGACCATTGTTCCTCCTTTTCTACATGACCTATATGTAGGTGGGAAGTACACACCGAATCTTGCATTAAACCAATGTTTATCGAAGTTAACGTGTATGCGAATGCTCGCTTCCTTACTTCAGTCCGAGGATCCTCGATACATTGATCCCCTATCATCTCATGATATTCTTTCAGTATGCTTTTGGTCAGAGTGATATATATCCTCCAGGCAATGAAGTTAGGGCTATCGAGTTGTGTTTCTTTACGCATTGTAGCTTTGTTGGGATCTTGGACGACGGTCGGGTCCACTTCGAGAATTGCTTGGAGTATCAGTGCCCAAAAAGAAAAGGCACCTACTACAAGGGACATGGTGAGCATAAGATCGAGGGAGCTCTTATAAGGCTAGTGAATAAGGTCTGAAACCCAATATGAAAACATATCTGCTAAACCTCGATCAGGTATTTCTCGAAAGATCCTTTTAGCTCGCGCTGCACTAGGTAGACCTGCCAAAATACTTATCGATTTGAAGGGGCCGCTTTGGCTGACCCGAGTTTAAGAAATCCATACCAAGGTTGTATATGTTTCCACTATCTCCTTAAGGAAGATTTTTTAGACCAACTCGTTCATGATCGAATAAGATAGTTATCGTCCTTTTGAGTTTCCCACGTTCTAGTGGACCTGCTTTAAATACATTTAAGGCTGTTGTTCATTCTTTGCTTACACAAGAAGAAGAGGAAACCCACTCTCTTCTTTCTTCTTTTTTAGAACCAAGTCCTTAAAGAAATAATAACAATTATGTTAAGAAACTAGTTTGTTTAGAATTTTGTTGATCTCGTTAGATACAAATTGTCGAGCCCAACCAAAAAAGATGGGGCTCGGTATAGCCACAGTCCGGTTCCCAGGTTAGAGTATTCTTTATTATCACCCTACTCAAATCAGAACTCAACTAGTAGATTCTCTTTCGCTTAACGTTCGGCTTTCATTGTTGCAACCTTCGCATTTCCTGCTGAGATCCCAAGTCTCCATGTGGGCCCTTTTGGCAACCCGCGACCTTGGCGTTTTAGAGAATCCTGCTCCTGTGTCGTGGGACTTGTAGCTCGGCAGTCCACCAGGTGGGTTTTTTATCCTTCCAGTTTCGAGTGTGTTCTTGGATAGTTATAGCGGCCCATAGGCGCAAGATGTACCTTGTGTGTGGGGGGCGGCGGTCCCCTGGACATAGTCCTTTCAGACAGTGGCCGTTGTTTAGTCCATGGTCCATTAGATGGTCAGTGCAAGGTTTGAAATTTGAACACATTGATTTCGCTCGTTCTCGTCCTTCGCTTTAGGGCATGTCCATCGGTGTGGTCAGTACTCCATACTGTCGGGTAGCGAAGCTGACACTTGTTCACTAATTATGACGGTTCGCCAGGGCCTCTTTCCTCCTCCCTTTTCTGCTCACTCCTAGGGTCCAGACCCCCACAAAAGGGGTGGGAGTCGACTGAACATCTCAGCCGTTGGCGAGAATTTTGCCCACATCCGATCCCCAATTCTTGCTCACCACCGATGATCGTGTTGGGTGAATTGTGACCTCGTACAATCGTGTCGGGTGAGCAAGAGCCGCTTCGTCACAGTACTGGCTTATAGGCTAACGGGTCACACTTTGATCAAGTATCCTACAAAGAGATTCCCGAAAGCCAGAAGGATTAAAGGAATGGCCATAGGAATGAGCGCATCATGACATCTTACGATGTCTCGCCCGAATGAATTAGTTGGTACTAGAAATGTTAGAAAAAGTGAACGAAAAAAGTAACAAGAGGTGAAAAGGACAGAGACACTTCCCAACCGGATAGAAAAGTTCCCACTGATGGTATACTTAGTGTAAGCGAGCTCTAAGATCACACCTTTGGAATAAAATCCAGCTAGAAAAGGAAATCCTATTAGAGATAAGCTGCCCATGAACATCATGGCATAGGTAAAAGGGAACGAGGAGGCAAGCCCCCCCATCTTCCGCATATCTTGCTCATCCGACATGGCATGAATCACCAAACCTGCACTCAGGAATAGTAATGCTTTGAAAAACACGTGATTCATTAAGTGAAAGACGCTAACTGAATAGTTAGAGATGCCGCAAGCAAAGATCATATAGCCTAATTGACTGCAAGTTGAATAAGTTATGACCCTCTATAGATGGTTCTGTAATACTCCAGTGGTTGCCGCAAGGAATGACGTCGTAGCTCCTACAAAAGTAATAACAATCAAAGCCGTAAGTGGATATTCAAATAAAGGGGAGCACCTTGCTATCATGAAAATGCCAGCTGTTACATAGTAACTGCATGAATTGAAGCGGATACTGGAGTGGGCCCCTCTATAGCATCGGGTGACCAAGTATGCGATCCTATTTGTGCGAATTTCCCAATAGCACTAATAAGAAGTAAAATACAAATGAGAGTTATGGCATTCAATCTCATATTGCAAGATATCCAAGAATTTTTGGGCACTAGCATGAGCAAAAATAGTTGAAAAGTCTAAATCACCTACTCGATTGACAGGTATAGCTTTTATAGCTGCTTTATCGGCCTGAAGTCGTATAAACCAAAAATGAATTAAAAAATATGAAGCAAGACCTACTCCTTCCCATCCTATAAATAATTGAAGAGAGTTATCTCCCGTCACCAACATTGGCATAAAAAAAGTAAAAATGGATAAATAACACATAAATCGAGGGCTATGCGGATCCTCAGACATATATGAAATGGAATAAAGATGGACCAAGCTACTTATAAATGTAACCACAATTAGCATCACTATGGTCAGGCTATCGAACACAGAGTCAGACTAATTTGCGAATCGAGCTAGCTCCTCTTGCATGCAATGATGTGGTGATGAACCTCTCATTCTAGTTCAGTGCTCTCTAAACTGTGTGGAAGGTTTTTCATTACACGGCTCACCAACTTGATATTCCTTTGCCACTCAAGTGTATGTACAGCATCTGCCGTGCTTAAGCCCCTTCTTCCCTTCCCTAATGAAAGAGTCCACCGCCCACCTTAGTAGTCAGTCTCAGCGTGCAGGCTTGCCTTTTAGTAGGTGATTCAACGAAGAAAAGGTTGGATCAAGAAAAGGGGGAAGAAAAGGCTAGATCAAGAAAAGGGGTACTACGAGCCCTCTGCCCCACACATCTAACCTGCTCGCGTGGTTCACTAATTCCACCTACTAGAAAGAGTGAAAAAGTGATACAATGCGCTAAAAGTGGGGGAAAAGTGGGGGTGTGCTCTCCCTATTGGGGTGGGCCCTTCCCCATAAGGCCCCACCATCGAGGACAGAGGTGCGCTTAAAGTGGGGGTGTGCAGTCCCTATTAGGGTGGGCCCTACCCCATAAGGCCCCACCATCGGGGAATAAGCACCCTCTTGCTACCCATATATATCGAATTACCAACTACCAAGTAAATAGTGTGGGGATGTGCTGTCCCTATTAGGCTGGGCTGTTCCTATTAGGCTGGGCCCTTCCCCATACGGTCTGAGCATAAGCGCCCTCTTACTACCCATATATATGGAATCACCAACTACCCATAGTCTAAGTCTTTTTTTCTAGGAAGAGTCTAGCCTAGCCCTATTATAGGCCCGGTTCAAATTGAACAATTGTTGACTATCTCACATTGCCTAACATTCAATCAACCTAAAATTTTAGGTTGGTCCAAAAGATTTTTTCAACCCAACTCGAGTTCACTTCTAACTAGTAGAAATGTAACTCGTGTTACATGATTTTCTTATTGAAGAGGAGGAAGGTATTTCAAAACTTTAAAGCATCAAGGAAGAAAACATTAGGGTTAATGGTTTATTATTTTAAAAAATTAATATATGAATGTAAGAAATACATGAAGATCTTATAACTTGAAATATGAGAAGAATAACTTTATGAAAGCAAGGACCTTCTTAAAAAAGGAATTATTTCTTTATTAATTTTTTTAATTTGAATTTTTAAAAGTATATTTTTAACTTGTTTATACTTTATTTATTTCTATGCTGAGGTGTGTCAAGGGTGGTCTATAGAATTAATTGTTATAATACTATGTATAAAAAGTATTTATAAATTAATAAAGATCAACAAAGGGAAATTCTGAAAATCTAACTCTTTATTCATAGACAAAAAAGGAGGCTAATCTACCATTACAACCTTAATTAAACAAAAACTAAGAGTTAGTTCTAACATTATTAGCGGTTAGAAAGCTGTTCCAACTTAAAAAAGACTTAGTTCACCCAAGCACTTCTCATACTCCAAGCACTTAAATACTCCACCGTGATAGACTCTGTTCCATTGTTGAAAACATGCAAATGAGCATCCCCAAACACCGCCTTTGTTGGGTATACCCTCGAAGTTATGCATGTTTTTCCTCCCCCACCAAAGCTCTCTATCACCGAGTGATCAATCTGCACAATAATACATAGTTTAGATTTGTCGATACGGTGCGAGAATGTATTGGACTATGACTTTACGTACCAAGCTTCTTAATGAGAGCTTTTTACTCGACAAATCGATGTCGACGAAACCCGCAAATGTCGGCTTGTATAATCCATCTTTCAAAGATGAG